TGCATCGGCAGTTACAGAACAGTGGGAATAAGGAGCACACGACACAAGATAAACTCAAATAAATTAAATCTCTAACTTTAGCATAATAAAGAAACAAGTATATAATCTCTAGCTTTAGTATAATAAGGAAGTAAGTCTAAATCCTCAAAATTATTGGATTATAAAGAGGTGGACTGTTTGAAAGATGAATTACTTTCATCAGAATTATCTATGGCATAAAAGTACGAATTCTAGTGATGCCCTGGGAAAACGTAGGAACTCTGGAGAGAAAGCCTGCTATTTCTCAATTTGGACACATTTTTCATTCTTTTTTTGAACGTTTAAGTTTTCTATCAACGGTATGTAATGTCAATGTTTGTTTTACATCATGTATTTTTTATAGAAATGATTCAAATAAATCATATGAAGACGTGCTGACAAAAGGAGGTCGTGATGATGAACTGCTTCTTGAATCACCAGCAGATGGCAGCATTCTGCAGGAACTCTCAATACTAACGTAGCATTGGCCCGTGTAAAAGTTTCCATCACAAGAGCAGACTTCAGGTGAGTTTGTGTCACGTGTGGCAGAAGATGTTGGACAAATTGTTTGTGCAAGACATTCCCCGGATTTTGATATAGGAATAAAGTAGTAATATATGGGAAAAGGCTCCACATCAGGCCATGGCCAATATGAAGCAAAGCTAAAGTTCAGAGTGGAAGACTAGTGTTCTTTGCTCTAATCTTCTCATTATCACAGCGTCAGCTCATGCCACAACCCGCCTCTTCCCCAGCACCATCTCTGGTGCACACTGGGGTAGTCTTGCACAGTTTTTTCCATTGTGGTTTTACTGCAAATGGAAAATAAATAAATCTGAATCTGAACAGTAGAGCTTTTCTCCATGTCATTGTCTCATCACCACCACTAGGGTCTGGATGATATCCCTCCTGCTGATGTCCTGCAATATCTGTTGAGTTACTGATCTCAATAGTAACTCAATCAACGACATCCAACATTTGAAATGTCCCATATGCAGCATAAGTGCAGACGTAGATCATTAGTATAATGTTTCACACAAAAAAATACAAAAATGTGTTTGATACACAATTCTCAGACAATACTCCTATACTACAGTATATACATATACTGCATTTTAAGAAATCTATATTTTCACATATCTTCTTACAGTATCATACTCTTGTTACAATGTTTTTTAAACCCTGGAGTGGAGGTATGTATTTTTGCTGTTTACTTGCATCTTACATCTCCTCATGCATTCACTTCTTCAAACTATGGATGTATTGTACTTTGAGCCAGGTCTCTGCCCACAACATGACCGTGTTTTCTGTTTGTCTTCAAAGAAATGTTATTTGCTGATATGTTCCAGAGGGACATTGACTTACCTGTTATTGCATTACATGTATTCAATTACAGTATGAGTCATCTTCAAATCCGGCAGAGCTTCTCCTTTAGGCGCTCATCATAATGTTGAACTGACCTTATGGGCACAGTTATAGAAGCCCATTACACATATATTTATCAATGTATTCAAGCAGTATTAGTGCAAGAGAGTATGAGAAGCATACAGTTTAAAATATTAAGCAGACTCTTTGCAAGAATGGCGTTGTGGGCTACAGTTTGTGCTACAGTATTTTTATTGATCCTTAAGAGAACCGAGATTTTTATTTCACTCAAATATATATTCTTCTTTTTCCTTGAAAAGAACAATACGTATATAAATCTAAAGTGCCTTTATAACTACTAATGTCAATAAATGTTACTCTTCATCATTCCCCTGGAAATGCATGCGTATGTAACTTGTTTGTACTGCAATTTGAGTAAACTTGAAAATTTGTCTTGGCTCTCACTGAACCTGGCTCCATTTCAAATCATACATTTCTATTTTAAACTCATTGATTTAAATACGTTTGGAGTTCTGTCTTGTGGATTACAGCACGTTTCCAGTTTGCTCTCCTGTTATTCAAACATGTAAATGATGTGTTCCCTGCTTGTTTTGAGTCCATAGACCTGTCTGGTGGAGTCCGGTAAAAGTGACCGTACTCTTAGTGTCCACTAGAGGGCAGCATCGCTCTATACAAGAAAACCACAGACAACAAAACGCTCAAATGAGACAAAATAGAAACGGTGACGTTCGAACAGGACACAATGTAGAATATGTCATTCATTCTGTCACTTCTGTCCATGGGACACAGTGCTGTCTAGAGTAGAGTAGAGTATTTGGGGACATGGGTTTGTTGCCTTCAAGAGGAGAAGACTACGCTTCACAAAGCAGTAAACTCCATTATATTCTATTTTATTATTTGAAATGAAAAAAACCTAAATTGTTCTGATAAAAACATGATATTTGATGGTTGTTTATCAGAGGTGGCTACTTAAAGCTAGTTAAAGTACTGAAATCAATCAAAGTAAATGAAGTAAAGCTTTTATATATTTTTTTATCATAAAGTAAAATGTAATCTTTTGACGGACCATATATTTATTCATTTATTTATTTGAGGATTTTTACTTTGCCTGTGAAACATTTGAACAATAGAAACAAAACAATTGTTCAATGACTAGAATAACACTGAGTCTGATCTGAACTTAGAAGCATGGTTAACTAAAATGACTTAATTCAGTTAGAAGCGTGGCTAACCACTTCAAACCTGTATTAGTTCATATGGACGTTGGACAAACTTTTTCCTGTCAGTCGTTTCCATGTTGTTATGATGTGATGTTACATTATTTAATAGAAAGGAGTAATGTGTGCTGCAAATACAGATACAAATAAAAACAATAGGTCAGTAACTAAAACACACATCTTTATCTTGTTGACGTTTTCTATTTTATTTTATTTTTTCATTGCTTGTTCTATTGCCAAATTTTGTCTCAGTATTTTATTTTATTTTTAAGGAACAGCATTTTTTAATCTCATTTTATGCAAATTATATAGTTGCTAGTTGCTATTATATTTTGTATTTCTTTCAAGACTTTCATTATTTCTTCATTGGCAAATTTTGTTTTCAGAGCGTGTCTTTAGTATCAGTTTCTGCAGTGTAGCCAATACAGACAGATAGAATAGAAAGAATGGTCTGAATCGTTGGTTTTTTTAGACAGATCAAAAAGAGCAACAGAAACCATCAACACCCAGTAGTGAGAACTCTAAAAGACACTTTGGCTTTCTACAGATTATACAACAGTGATATTACATTATTGTCAAGATTTTAAAAGACATTTCTTCTCCTGCTCGACACAGTAGGATTTAGGCTGACCTTTTCTAACACATTTTATTTATAGCCTCTCTATAAGGCTCATGTTTGAGTTTTATCCAGACACTAAGACTATTTCTCAAACAGTGAAAGTGTTACATAAGGAGACTTTGAGGTGACGTGCTGACAAAGAGCTTACAGAGAACAGTAGCTTGAAAGTGCTGCGTTTTGACCCTAAAATATAGCCCACCAGAACATTGTTGGCACAGAAACTGAAGTTATAACGGCAGCTCATTCGCAAGTTAGAGGTTGCTTTTAGACATATTTGAAATGGCTAATGGCTCTATTCTGAAAATGAATTCTCAACTACATACCCAGTTTTCACACCCAGTCAGATGTCCTTGTTTTAGGAGATTGTGCTTTCATTCAATACCACCATCACTCACCATTAGAGAGAGAGAGTGTGTGTGTGTGTGTGTATACTGTATATATATATATGTATGTGTATTTATACTTTCATGCACTAATTTTCTTCCCCTTTATTTGTCAATTTGTGGGTCAGGGGGTGGCATTGAGAGCTGTCACCCAATGCTCACAGCCTTGGTCTTTCAGCAGGGGGCTTAAGTGTCTTGCCCAAGTACACAACAACAGCAGACATGGGTGGGAGCAGTTTGAGTAGGTCTTGAGGGGGGATTGAACCCACAACCATCAGGCTCACAGGCCAATGCTCTACCAACTGAGCCACTGTCTTGAATCATTCATTACTAAATACAGTATATGTATTTTTCCATTTTCAAATTACAACATAATTGAACTGATCTGGGAGTATCTCAAATTTGCAGTTCAGGAAACAAGGCACAGGAATTTACAGAAACTTCAGGCTTTTTGCCAAGAAGAATGTGCTGCTTGACCATGAGAGGGGAGAAAGAACCTCATCCACAACAACCACAGAAGATTTCAAGCTGTCATAGATGTTAAAGCACTAAAGAGAAATGGGAGGTGGAAACTTCAAATCAGGGTCATTTGAGTATTTTGTCATAATTTTGCTAACTTATATAGATTCACACATTAACAATGAATGAAAAAGTCTTTGCGTTAATATTCCTCATCTCCAAAATAGTTTTTATCTGCCTGGGTGTGTATACTTTCACTGTACCATACTAATCATTAAGTAACTAAATATGAATGATTGCTAATACAAACTATCTAAAATAATACACTTCACATTTTATATTGAAATCATTTGATAATTCCTGAAAACCAAGTCCGAAGAAAAACACTTGAAACAGTTTCAAAATTCAAATTTTAATGTTTAGTAAAAAGGACAGCTTCTGTTTGTTATGACAATTCTCACTGTATTAACAACCAGATTAATAACAATAAATCTTAGTTATAAAAATTCATAATCTTTGGACTGTCAATCCTCCTTCTGGGGTGTTAGTACAACTATACAATATTTTTTTCCAAAATCTTTTCCAGTCCATACGGTAACGGAGGAGGTTACTTCATCTTAAAAGAGCTTTTAATTAGTTAAAAAATACAACTTTAAATATCCACCAACACGTGACACTGCGGCGGTGAGAGTTTGAAGGCCATTTGTAGCAGAAGGCAGAGTTAACAGGGCGACAGTTCAAAGGCCTAACATGAGCACAGTCAGAAGATTCCCCAGAACGGAATAACAGTTTGGAGTCCGGAGTTTTGGGATTCAGAAGCACTGGTCCACGGAGAGGAGCGAGTTCACCCAAAGGTTAGGAGAAAAACACGGTTCACTGGGTTTGTGCATCCACATGGAGTTTAGGTTAGATACAGTGTGGTCACTCCGAATCCCGCTGGACCTCTGAGGCGTCCGCTCGGCAAATGGGACAGGTCCGATTGGCCTGAAAGCAAAGGCAAACTTTTATCAAAATGGGATACTAAGAAAAACATAACCTTGCCTGCAAGCTGAATTCTCGCGGTATTTGTGAGTTCACAAACACTCGAGAATACATCTTGTACCGCTCCCGCTTACACTTTTCGAGTCGAACCACTGGGTGTGCGAGCCAATCACGCGCCAGTCTGGGGGTTTAGGGCGGGATATCCGGGTTTGACGAAAACAAGAAGTGCCGGGCCGAAGCAAAACAAACATGGCTACGCAGGAGGACGGACGCAAAGTCAGTTTTAGCAGAATCTCCAATTTCTTTTTTGAAAGATGAACAGCGAGAGGCGCTTTGTACATTTCTGGACGGCAACCTTGGTAGGCGGGCACACAGCGTCACTTCGCCCAATCAGCTTCAAGTATTCTGCTGCTTACCCCTCCTTTCCCCGAAAGGATTCTCCGGGAGAAATCCCAGATTGATATCGCGGAGAACGCGTTAGAGTTCTACACAATCATCAATCTGGCTTTTGCCAGGTTAAGAAAAACATACAAACCACATAAAAATGACCATCACAACATGCACTGGGCATAATAACATTACGCTGGAGAACCCAAACACAGCAAATAACTAATAAAATCCATGTAAGTAGTTCCCTGCTCTCAAAACTGTTTTGTTTTCACATGAATCAATTTTGTCACATCTTCAGATCAGAACCAGGACCACCCTCAGCTCAGCCAATCAGCTCTCGGTATGTAAAAGATAACATGTCTTCTCATAAGATAACAGTATGATTATATACTGTTTTGTTTTATGTTGGGGAAAACAAAATGTATTCAAGAAGCAAAAAGAGGGATTTCCATTATGTAGGGTTGACATATTGGTGTGAAAATGAAATTACTGAACTAAATGCATTTGCTACAGTAACTGATACATTATTCTTCGATACATTATTCTTCTAGAGCAGGGGATAGCTAAACTATTTACTTTTGCAGGGAAAATTAACACATACTGGTGGGACAACCAGATGTAGGAGTTGAATCAAAAAGGTTTATTTGGCTTGGTATGAACAATAAACATTAGTGAAAAGCAAAGATGCCTTGTACCAGGTTAGGGCAGAAAAACACCAGACGAACATGGGGAGGCAGTGACAGTAAGTAAGAGAGATGACCTTACATTGCATTTGAAGAGATGTATGATTAAATAGTCAGAAATTGCCAGAAATGCTGACAATGCGTTTCCAAGAAGAAATGTCTCATCTTTAATGGACATTGGTCAATACCGTTATGTTTTATGTTATAATTCTTGTGTTGAAATATTTTGATTCTTTGATCTCTGTTGGTAAATTCAACGGTTGTGTAAAGTCCTCTGAGATGACTACTGTTGTGATTTAGGGCTATACAAGAATAACAGAGTTTTTTCATTTTTTTTATTGAAGGCCTAATTCTTTGTTTGATTCTGGACAGGAGCGCACAAACGATGGATACTCACCTTAAGCCACTTGTCCACACACTTTGCATGAAACTCGTGATTACAAGGCAAGACCCTCAGGAGCTGTCGAGACTCGAAGTCACACATGCACACCACGCACCTGCACGCCACAGAACATCTCCGTCAGTTCAAGTCAACGTCATTTTGCCGAATTTCAGGACTCGTGGTACTTACATGGTCTGCTCAGACTGGTGGTTGTTGGGGTTAAATCTGTATGAGGGCAGCTGCTCGATGTCCGCCTTCGTTAGACCTCGAGGTTTGGCTTCTCCCAGACGCTCAGCGAGGTTCAACAAGGCCTGAATTAGTTAAAAGATATTGATTTTTTTTTTTATTACATAAATGTGTAATTGGAGTATGGTATGTCAAATGATTAAAAGCCCTTTAATACCTCATAGTTTTCAACCTCCCCATCCTCCACATCTAGCTCCAAACTTATAGCGGGGGCTACGTTTGGGGCCACAGGAAGCATAGACCTGAATAAAACAAAAATGCATTCAATAAATTAAACATACTAAGAAAACCAAAAAAGCAACGCAGATCTAATTTTAAAATATGAAAAATACATTCTCAAAGTTGCTTACAAGAAATAAGGCAGGAAGCTGGGGTGGTAAGGTGATGGAGGTACAGTCTGTTGAGAACGGTACCGGCGACTTGTTATTCTGCGAGGCATGAAGTGAGGATACGGCTATGGAAACCAAAAGAGATACAATTATTACATTTCCCACTGAAAATGAAGATGGACACAAAGGTCATCATGAAAACATGTACAAGCCTCCACTGACCATGGTGAAGAGTTCCTGTGACAGCGGGTCGTGGTGGGACAGGAACTGCAGTGGGGTGGAGGGGGGCAGGGCGGAGGGGGGCTGGTGGTGGTGGTGGTGATGTCGATGGTGACTGAAGCTGAAGCCTCCGCCGACCGACAGCTGCTCCCCCAGGAGCTCCACCTCATTTTCAATTCTCTGCAAAGGCTGAAAATAAATATATTTAAATAAATAATAATGATAGTAGTAAAGGAAAGTCGAAATTGCGGACATACCGATCGTGGCTGCTGTGTCTGGAAAGAAAGGAACTGTGCAGGCGCGTGGATGTGAGGAGGGTGGTGGGCGAGGTGAGGGGGAGGGGGTAGCAGGAACTGAGGGTCACTGGACAACAGGGAGGGAAATGCATAGGGCACCGGGAGATGCTGCATTGAACAAGTCTGAAGCATCTGGTGAGAAAAAAACCAAAGGTTTTATACTTAGATTAATTTGTTTATTGTTGTAATTCAACTATAGTTCCACAAGGTGGCATTCAAGAACACTGAAAGAACATTCAGTTTCATGTACCATTTTCTACTTTGTTATTGTTCACTGGACACTTTCGTTTTCCTTGTCAAATCGTAGGAGAAAATGTGCCGTACAAAGTGTACTTTTACTCTAAGCCCACACAGAACAGATAGCTCACTGCAGTGTTCCTCTCACCGGGTGGTAATGCTGTCCAGTGCTGAAGACCACGCTGCAGGCGGGCACCTGCTGTTGAGAGGAGCATGCGGGGGGGAGGTGCTGCCCACTGCACAGTGGCGCCGCCAGTCCATGAGGAGGCACCGGGGTCACTGTGTACGACACTGGGACGCTGGCCTGGAGCTACACAACACATCAGGGTTATTCTCCTGATTGCTCTATGACATCAGTAGTTATCATGCAGCATGATGTAATCAGTTTATACAGAATGCGCACTCACTTGTTCATGGAGGTCCATGAGCATGGCTCCTTGCTGCTGGGATGCATGATGCTGCTGCTGATTGTGGTGGTGGTGGTGGTGGTGATGTGCAGCCGGGTGTAACAGTCGGGGGGACAGAGCAGGGGGGTGGAAGGCGCGGGGCTCCTCTGACCCCGGTGCTAGCCCGGCAGAAGGGGTCTGGCCATAGGCACTGGGGGTGTGTGCTGGGTACGGTTGATGCGTGGGGAGGTGAGGGATGTGGTAGTTCTCGTCCTGGAGGTCTGAGGACAGCCTCACAGGGGCTTGTGTGCTGGGGTGTGGAGGCAAATGACGAGATGGTCTGGAGAGACGGCCGCGCTGGCGCCTGGCTGGGGGGCTGGGACAAGACAGAGGAGGAATATTAATAAAACTATCATTCATCGCTTAAAGTAAGCAATAAATTAGGTCCCTTACCTGCGCCTCAGCCGTGCTGGGGTGAGACATCGCTCCTGGTGGTAGTGTGCGTGGGGATGGGGTGGTCGGCGAGTAGCGGGTCCCGACTCCCAGGGGCGGATGGGGGGTGAGGGGGTGGATGGTGGTGGTGCAGATGTGCTGAGCTGCTCCAGGACAGACTGGCTGGACAGCCTTTGACGCTTTGGACTGGGGCTCTCCTCACTCTTCATGGGGGAAAAATAATGGAGACTGTTATTGAGTTCATCAAGATTTACATTTTCTCTGGACAACATCTATTATCCATGAACACTAAACTCTTTATGAGGCATGGTATTTCCTGTATGATCCAGAGTGTGTAAGAGTGTATTACACCAGCAGGACCTTAGGGTCAAAGTTACTTCCTCTCCGAGAGAGGAAATGTAAACACGAGACAAGCTCACACAAGCCGTTTGACTCACTCACACACCCTAAATGTTTGAATACACAATACAGTGCAAACAAGAGTGGGCCTGGTTGGCCTTGCTTCATTTTAGGGAAGAGATCATAAAACCAACTGTGTTTTAATCCTATCAACCGTATATGTGAGTCACTCAACTTACTGTCAGAGGAGTGACTCGCACACTTGGCACGGCGCTCAGCATGAGAACACGTGTGTGTCAGCTCTTAGTCACCGTCTTAGGCCAAAATGTGCACTGCAGAAAGCGGGCCCTCTGAGGCTCTCACAGACTTCTAAACAGTTCAACACTTTTCCCTTTGGGCCAGCTTGATCCCAGGTCTCAACAGTGCCCTTCCTGGGAGACACGTTGTTAAAGTGAGATAAAAATGACTCAGTGGCTGTGACTTTTAACACACCCGTCCACACAGCTCAGCAACCTTGAGAGCGGTGTGATAGCTAACAGGAAACAGCTGGAGAGCAGGCTGCTGAATCGCACACACGTATGGAAAAGCCTGCAGACATGCGCACATTCACACATGGGCAGCTGCCACCGTTTGAGTCTCCAGCCTATAAAGAACAATACCTCCCAAAGATTCAGAAGCTCCACTGTGGAGAGTGCCACAAAACTACAGAGCAGGCTCAAGTCTACACAAGTGATAACTTTGCTGTGCTTTTTCCATTGCTCCAATGAATGAAAAGAGCCGATGTCCAACAAAAACAAATAGTACAAGGATTTCATTGTAAAAGTAAGTACGCCATCTTTATTTATATAGTGCCTTTCACAGATCAGAGTGTATACAAAAAATTTATACACACAAGAACACACAATACGTGGCATATCATGAACCTCGTCTGTACTTTTGGTGATGGCCTAAATGACGCGTACTTCGCTACATATGCCGCAATATCACACATGCTTATTAACAGGCACTAATGTAAATGAGTCAGTAAATAAATTAAGGCTTTTGATCCCATACCCAATGCTCAACCACATTTAGAGCAAAAATATAAAGATGCCCGTTCTTAGGGCACCAGCACTAAGATAGACCCCCCCCGTCCCCCTCTGCTCTGAGTAGAAGCCCCCCCTCTGCTCTGCCCTGACAACTCATCACCACCATACCAGCAAACCCCAAAACCCTAGGGACATGTACTGTGCCCATTTTCATATCCAAGCCAGACTCTCCCATCTCGGGTCCCCCCGCTATCACACCCCCACTCGAGACGCCACTCCTCCCCCTCCCCTCCCCCCTATCATCCCATCTAACAGATAAGCCTGGGCTCTTTGCGGGGCTGATTTCCTTCCATGGTCCTGTCCCAGGCTCAGCTCAAATCTGAAGGGACGTGACCAGAAGTTCCTCGTCAGGACACATGCCGTAGGTACAGTTTGTCCCGAGACACATCGACTATTGGCCATTAGCATGAAAGTTTGATGGGGCCGTCTCCCTGCGTCAGTGGGAGGGCGCAGTGCCAGACAAAGAACTGTGTGTGCGCATGTTCCCCGAGCTGTACACTTTAATGTGGCCGCCTCGTGTGCAACTCTTGCTCCATTTATTTGTCCAATTTATTTGCAGTACACCACGTAGTATTATGGCACAGTGATGATCACTGTTGTGTGTGCGATTTGTTTGATGCAATTGAAACTTTGTCAGAGCGTTGCCATTAACTCAAATGAATGTTATACACAAAATTCAGATTTTTTGTCAAGGTAAATCCTACAATTTCCTATTCTTCTTTACACACTGCTGAAGTAACCTTCCACATTTATGCTTGGCAACATTTCAAAAGGCAAAGTTATCCAAAAATAAATACAGTATTTTGTAATAGAAGTTGGCAATGTAGGAAATTGAAATTCATCTATGAAGCAAAACTTGAAAGTTTCAGTATTATCTTTATTAAACCGTGCAAAAAAATGCAAAGGGTATAACATTACAATATGTATTGTGCGATTTTATTTGTCTCAATTAAAAAAACCTTTCCACCCATTTTAGTGTATTTAGACATTTATAGCTGACAATTATTTTATTTTTTTCAGACAAAAACAGCATGAGAAGCCATTTTGTTTGGTATTGCAACACATGTCCCCATAGCCATATTGTAATAGATACTGGTCGTTCTCTTTTTACTCCAAAGTATGGCGCTGGACCAAATCTGGACTGCCAAACTATCACACCCCCACTTGAGACAATTGTGGCCTAAACAAGCTTCAGATATTTGAAAGGAGTATCATTTTCTCTTGTCCAGCCAGTGTAAAATGTATCATTGTCTTTGCAGTTTCCCCCCATCTTTTGTGATTTGTGTATATTAGTTGGTCAACAATGATGCGTCTGATACATGTTCATCTTGGCGGGCTAAGTAGAAATATTTGAATAACCCTGCTCTAAAAGCCTCAAGCCTTTCACCAACCGTACACACTAAGGATAAAAAATGGATCTGGATTTTCCTCTCTGTTCCAGTAAAGTTAGTGTAATTGGTGTTGTGTGTTTGAACGTAGTATAAGCTGAATGGGGACCATTTTGACCATTGAATCAACTTAGACTATCCCTTTTAGTCAAATAGTCATATTTGACTAAAAGAGGTAGTCTAAGATTTATTGTTAACACAATTTGACCTTAACCTAATTCCACAATATCTGGAATATTAGGGGGGTGCATTTTAAGTAGTGTTTGTAATTCATGCAAGAAGTTTTTAAGGAACACTGCCCAAAATACGGGGGAAAGACGGACATAAAGAGCAACTCCCTAAAACATGGTGAACCAGTCCACTGTGGTTGAATATTACAGAACATCCTGCAGAGCCCACACACTCTCCCGCCCTTTCCCCCTCCACATGCACACAGACACACACACACACACACACACACACACACACACACACACACACACACACACACACACACACACACACACACACACACACACACACACACACACACACACACACACACACACACACACACACACACACACACACACACACACACACACACACACACACACACACACACACACACACACACACACACACACACAGATATCTGTGACACACCCCGCCACCACCATGTCCCATTTCACAACATTTGGAATATGGGCTTGTATCCACAGACAGAGTGTGTGGTCACCAGCTGTTGTGGCTTCCCAGAACTGGACTAAAGGGGACGTTTAGTAAATAGTAAGTCACATATGATCTGAAATCATATTGACAAGACACGATGAGTTTTAGTCCACTAATACTTGTGAAATTAAACAAGTCAGGCTGCAATTAGCCGGGGTGTAGCAAAAGCTTAAACTGCTATTACTGTAATAAGGGAAAAGTGAACCATGTGAGTTTGATCTGGCTTTAACATTAAAGTAAAAACCTCAATGTTATGAAAAAATAAAGCTAGGGAACAAATTAACTTGTAATTCAATTCAAGTAATTTAATTTAAAATTATTTCAACAACTAAAATGTACACTACATTGTATAAAATAATACATTTGGTTAAGTATTCATACACAAATATTCTTGATTCACATATTAATTTAGTTCCAGAACAACACTCCAGCAATAATACAATTTTTGATCCAGACTGCACGAGGCTTACCACTCGCAACCTAGGCCTGTGCAGTCTCTCTGAATTGCACACGGTTGAATGTGTGACCACTTGCTTTTACAAATTCATTAATATTTGCAGACATGCTTCCACTAAAAACACCTTCTCCCTCCCCCAGTTTTTTTTTTTCCCCATCAACAAATTTTCAAAGCCCATTTTGTTTCCTGTGCCACTGTTGCTCCCTTCCTTCCTTCCCTCCCTCCTCACCTCCTTTCCTTCTCTCTCAGCCTGACCAAGTCCCACAGCTGGAGGTGGAATCATTAGCGATACCCCCTCCCAGTTTAAGCCTCGCCTTAGTCTCTCCTACGCCTCGTTCTACCTCCCAGCTTCCACCAACACCTACCCTGCCTCGCTGTCACTGCTAACAGATCATCCCTATCCTTTATAGTTTAAGGTGATAATAACTGTAATGTTTCATGTCGTAAAGTAAGACTAGTCCAATTATTCTCATGTGACTTGTGAAAGTAGTCTGCACGGACATGGGTGTTACCTTATCACTTTCTTCTCCGTATGCATGGTCCGGGTGGCAGTGGTAGAACCCGCCAGAAGCTCCTGGGGAAAAAAAGAAAAATTTGCACATTATATTAAATGTGACAAAGTAAAACCATGCTTAAAAGAAGAAAAATCTGTTGAACATCTCTGACATTTTGTTTTGATTTCAATGGATTGTTCTTGAGTTAGAGGGAAGACTGACTGAGGTGTGGCTGGCATTCTGCACATAACTTGTTAGAAACATACAGCGATTATTAAGCTTTTTTTGTATTTTACATTTTGTCTGTTGTCGAAATTTGTGACAGATGGTCTCATCGGTGAGAGAGAATCATCTTCTGAGCGGAAGTTTGTCTAATATGACCGTCAATAAGTCAGAAAAGTATCATGTGACAATATGGCAAGTCGTTTATATAGATTATAAAAGAGTATTATAAAACAATCTCTCAACCATTTGCTGAAATTGATAGCAAACAATCAGATGGAGCCCTTGTTTGTCTGCACACAGAACATTTAATCCTTTTGTTTTGGATTGCATACAGCAGCATGAAACAATGACAACATGTTTGTGAATGTCTGCTAACTGCAGAGCCTCAAACACATGGTATAGCCTTGCAGCAGATCAGAGACAGTAGTAGGTGCACACGCACACACAAAATCAACACAGTAATCCTGGATTAGAGGGGCTCTCTGATGATACCGCAGCTTGCATCGTGGTTAAGACTTTTACTCTTTTGTTTTCCCCACAATCCTTTCATCTTTTATTCTGGTTTTTGTTTTTGCCTTTGTCACAGGCCCAGTCTTTAGCGAGGACGTTCTCGCCACAGATGGTGGCAGTGGTGCGCACGGCAAGGGTAAGCGCTCCCAAGGGCGCACCAGACACCTTTACCACACAAAAGTGGATGAAGGATAAAGTCAAAGCAAACAGATGCAGAAAGGGGTTTCTTCGCCTCATTTTTTGTTTGTTGGTGGTATTTTATCCAGCTTACAGGCTTTACTTTGAAGAAAAGCTGTGATTGACAAAAAAAGAGGCAGGTGAAAGAATGAGAGACAAGAGTGAGGTTTTTGCAACTGAATTTATCTTTTTTTACTTTAAAATGTATTTTCTCTTCAACAGCCAAAAGAAATTTCTGAGAAGGTTTCAAGTGAGTGGAGCTTATAACAGTGGAGGACAAACTAGCTAAAGAGGCTATTTTTACCAAAACGAAGTGGGAAGAAATGGTGCTGAAGCATTCATGAGACTCGCCGGCTCCACTGCGCTGCTCTGTACGACTTTCATTCACCGATCACAATGACCAAAACCCGAGCCGCTGCCTGCTTGTACATTGTCAGGATCCGGTAAATTGAGTCAGCGTGCACTCATTCACCAGCAGTGACTCTATGGAGCTCGGCACAGAAGCTACTGAACAGGTTTGGGTGACATCATGTCCACTGTGGGCCTGACACACAGTGCTCTCAGCCAGGCTTGGTTTCTGTGCTCAGGGCCTCTCAAGACTCGCTGAATAGGGACAACCTGCAGTAGAAATTTTAATGCATGAGAACACTTTTTTTTTACTTTCCAAAAGGTTAATTTTCAAAGGGCTTATACAGAGGGCTTAATGAATTGTTTGAAATATGTAAATGTATTTTTGTCTGCTTTTCCACGCAGCAAGGAGTCTGCTTGTTTGTGATAGGTGCAAAGTACAGCTCACACCTCCACCACTGAGGCGGTTTTCATAATTTTCCCTTTAAAGTGCAAAGACAGCCGTGTATTTCTATTGTAATAATGTGATCAAAGCTAAACTCTTGATTATAATTATACTTTGGTCACAGTGTTTAGCTTATGTACCGTACAGATTTGAACATCTAAAATTTATGAATGTACTATGAGTATATATAATTTTGTTTGTTTTAAGATTACAATGCTTTACTTGCCTAAAAATTATTATTATATGGATTAATTGCCAAGGATTGTATTTTATGATAACAACATTATGCATTTTCCATATTCTGCACAGATATTTTAAAAAACCTGGTAAATAATAAACAAGCAGCCAATAAAGTCACAACACAATCCTTAAAATAGACATTCTATGCTCTGTGGACAATTGCACATCACTTTTATAGAGTGGGAGGAAAACTGTCACCATCGCAAATGTACAAGAGGAAGATGAATGCAACGCACCAGTTTACATTTTACGATCAAAAAAATATTTCCGTTAAATTGGGTCATTCATTTCCCATCTTGTCAGCCCTTTTGGCAAGCCATGCTTTCGTCCATCTTTCATTAGATTTAGTGTGATCCTTGATGGAAATCTATGAGTCGAGTTGTAAGTCGGGATCATAGACTGTAAATAGATGAACAGTGTTCTGCCCAAGCCCCGGTGATCCAAGATGGCGCCCTATTCAAATGAATGGCTTGTGCTCAGTAGCGCATGGGACTTCACGGGGACCAAGAGATTAGCGGAACTCGCCTATATTTGGGCATCGCCTGGTCCTCCCGGTTCTGCGCAGTGGATGTGCTCCCATGATGCGTTGCGCCAAATACGCGTACGGCTGTGACCAATCAGCGCTGCTGATTAGAGCAGCAGTAGAGCAGAGTCAGAGCGGGAAGGAAAACAGCAGAGTTTGTGGCAGTAAAGTGTGGATTTAAAGAAAACCGAAGGATTTAAGAAGAAAAGTTCAGGATGACAAGGGACACAAAAATCTCCTCAAAATCAGACCTTTATGAAAGCTGTAGGTTTGCTGTCAGCTGAAGTCGAGCCATTTTAGTTTACATTGAGTTCTATGGGACTTTTTTCTGGGTGGCCCACATGAATTTAGTCTGCAGTACCACGGGCGCCCCCTGTGCCCAAGGGTGGGACAGCTATAAGCTAGTAATACCCTTTCCAGTTATTATTATTGATCCATGGTTCTGCCCAACTCACTTCAACTCCCACTAAAAAGTAAACTCCTCTAGCTCTCACCATTTTGGGCTTAAACCCCCATGGATCACCACACTCTTTGATGCTGGCATTTTTACACTGTAATCAAGTTCAATTCATTGCCTTTGATTATTTGAGAATTTGTTGACGTCATTGCTATCATTAACTGCGTGTTCATTAAATTAATGTAGAAAGGGCTACATCAGTCTTTACAGCTACATTACATATTCTTAAGTAGTAACAATATCAGAATAATCGAGGCAAAGGAATTGTCATTTAAGATTTTTGTAATACAGTAATTTGATCGATTTGATTAAGATTTGAGTTTAGCTCTACAGATGACGTCAGCACTGGGCATTGGTAAGTCCTAGAGTATATGGTTGAGTTCCAGTCTATCGTCAACACACAAACAAATCCACCTTTAGGGATTTCTGCCCACCAAGTAACCAATGTGCACCTCATTCGGCTTGCTGCCACCTACTGTAGGTCAGAGTGGACCATTATGACGAGGGGTCTACCTATTTCAGCCATATTGGTTAATATCAGGCCAAAAAAACCTTAATGTTAAAGTATTTTAAAAAGTATTGTGCTTTTGTTTATCATTTCATTGTATTGTTTTTAATTGGAGGGCAGTTAGTGTGACGTGCAGAAATCCGGAGTGTGGCCTGCATGGTCCGGCAGCACAAAGCTTTGTTGGTGCAATGGCATAGTCAGCATCAGTTCTGATAATGTAGTTATACAACACACAAAATGTATTTTAGAAAGATATCGCTAAACTCAATATTCAATATAACTTGTGGAGTGTGCTGTGCAGGCCTAGAATATGGATCCAGTGTGAGAGTGAAGGGCGGGCACAGGAGGAGAGGGAGATGGGTGGGGGTAGTGGCTTCCCCTCCTGACTACTATTGATTTTCTGTACGCCTCAGAGTGCATCAGCTATTTCTATCCATTTCCTCCGCCCTCTTCCTCACACTCCCTCCTCCTCCTCCTCACACTCTCCATCACTTCATCACCAGCCCTCCCTCCTCTCCCCCCCCATCGTCGATCTATTTCCCTATCTGCCGGCCCTGTCTGTCCGCCATATATTCTCACCCTTTTTATCTCACCACATCCTCACTGCCTTCTGTCTCATCTCATATGAACACTCCCTGTTTAAAAGGCAAAGATGACCATGATTTGTGGTTCTAAGAACTGGTTTGGACCTTACCAAAAACATAGTTTTTGATCAGGTCTATTTGAATATAATCTGATCAAACAAATTATTTGTTGCACTTCCCATGTACTTTCTACATGTTTTACATACTTGTCTGGTCTTTGAGTCTCCTCAACTTCTAAGAAATATAGGCCTCTGATTGGGATTTAAGGCTGATGGGTCAAAAAAAGCATTGATATAATACAGAAACACCAAGGCTGTGTCACCGCTGACAGAGAAGCCATCTTCCTCACCACCTGCCGGAGAATCAGTGAGGGACATGTGCGATGAGCATCTGGTGGCAGCTCTGATCGTCACCCCTCCGACCCAGAAATGGACTAATAAAGGGGTAAAAAAATGAATGAATGATATAATACATAAGAGTTCAGACACCCAAATTCCTACCCCAAAAAAACAAAAACAAACAAACTTAGCATGTATAGACAATTTTGAAGTTCTGCGACTCCTCTGTGATCGATTTACACTTCCCTCAAACAAATTGTTTAATCTTTGCCAGTATGTTACACCTAATTTTAAAGCTCACGCATGTCCCATATTACAATTCTCACATCCAAGATCTAGATCATGCTAGCCCAAAGAAGCTATTCAGATCATTAAAAAAAGGAAAAATTGAAGTAAGTAACTAATCTTTATTTATATACCACCTTTCACAAAGCGGTTTACAATTGTTGTGGACATTTGTCTCTCACTCCACACAGAGATGGAAGCAGGGTTGCCAATACAGGAGGCGCATGCCAGACCCATTGTACATGTTTTTAGTGGTAAGGGAAACCGGAGTACCCGGAGGAAACCTACGCAGACACGGGCGGCACGGTGGCTGAGTGGATAGCACTCTCGCCTCTCAGCAAGAAGGTCCTGGGTTCAAATCCCGGCCGGACCAGGGCCTTTCTGAGTGGAGTTTGCATGTTCTCCCCGTGTCTGCGTAGGTTTCCTCCGGGTACTCCGGT